TTCAAGGCAAACTCAAGGGCGAGAGGCACGCCAGACCCCACTGCAGCGCCAGATGGGCCGCCCGCAGTGTGCCAGAAGCCTCACCGGGCAGCAAGAATAGGGGGCCTTCGAAGAGTAAGGGCTACATGCCACGAATTTGCCCCTGCGAATATCACACATACGGGAAGCTAGTGGATACGTATGTCTTCTCTTGATGATGTTAAAGTTTTGGTTCGAGCCCGCATTCCATGTTGAATGGAGGTCGGCTTTGGGTCTAGTTGAACTATGGCCACTGCTGAAAAGTGATGGAAAAAGGTTGTCTAGGCAAGAAAACCTCTTGGCGCTTTGCATTCATGCATTGACAGGTATGGTGTAGCGCCATTCATGAAATCATCATTACGATGTTAGTTGCACGTCTGAAATTGAATTGCACGTCTCTCTGTTGAAATGTAAAATTCACACACCGGCCTTCAGTGTTGCCATGTACCATTGGTTGTTTTGAGCAATTGCGTGTGCTTTTTTTGCGGCTGTGCTTGGGACAGGGCGAAGAAGGGCGCGGACCCTAGCCCAATGTTGTGCATGCTTTGGCCAGAACACATCTACTAGCGAGGGGATCGTGTTTGATAATGGGAATGGATAATAGGGGCCATTGTGTTAGACCTCGAAAATGCGCTGACACAAGGAGGGCGCAAAGGCCTTACCTCTGCGTTCCAACAAGCGGCCAATCAGCCCACCCAAAAGCAATGTATATAGCTTGCCTTAAGACAACATCGAGGTGGTTAGCAATTGAGACTGCCCACAACGCATCTCAAAGGACAGAAACTAAGCCAGGGCAGCACCGACCCACCCCGTCCGTGTGATTCGCTGAGCAACACGAAGTTGCCTTTGCGCGCCCCGCCATACAACAAAAGTGAAACCCAAGCAGTCGCCATGTTTTGGTGAGCCGCCTTCAGGTGGGTCCTTACTCTGTGAACTTTTGTGAATTCGGAAACTTCCGGGGCCAACAACCGGCATCACACGTGTTCTCATGTCGGCATAGTAGTTCTGCACTGTTAATTGGGCGATTATTGGGCGCTTGGCAACAAAGGGGCTGCCTTTTGAGATGTACACTTGATGCCTGATAACACGTCCTTCTGCTTGCTAGCTGGATGCCAGCGACAGCTAGAAATTCACAAGTCAGCCGCATCTCAGAGCGCTGGAGCCATGCAAACGCACCAACAGCTCCCATCCCCTCTTGCCACAACCTTAACGGACAATCCGCATTACAGCTAATTACCAGAGCTCCACTGCCACGGGGGCTCAACAGGGCATCAGGCTATTTGAACCATCAAAACGATTCAGGCAAGAAGACGCTGGTTGCAAACATGGGGACAATGGCTCCCCTTCACGCTTTGGTTGCCCTGCCAGAGGGCCACCAAACAACAGTCGTATAATTGTGTTTGCTTGACACCATGCTTGTTGGGCTCGCTGGACGAAGGGGCGATAATCCGACCAAAACCAAGAAGGAAATCAAGTTGTACCCCCGGGAGACAACCAGAGAACCGTTTCAACCAAAGAAGAGCTGCTGCAGCTCACTTCGCCCGACTTGCCACGCGCCCAATTGCGGCGCCCCCGGCGCCTCGAGGCGGGTTCGCCGCACCAAGGCCGCGTGGCACGGGCGCTGGGTGAAGCCAATGCGGCGCCAGCGGGGGCCGTCCAACGTATCGGCCACGAAGCGGCGGTAGTAGTCCTACCGGAAGCGGATGGTGATGGTGCCAAGGTCAAAACCGTCGTTGCCTCTAGGGACAACCCCTCAAAATGGAAAGCTTCCGATACTTCTTTTGAACCCCAAGAAGGGTACCCTCCAAATGTCTGGCAAGGGCTTCATAGGTCTGGCAAGCCTCCAACATGTTACAACAATGTTGTTTGCTCTTTGGTTTGTGGTAATTACGTGGCAATCCCGTGCTCATTCCATTTGCCCAACCCCAAACGCCTGCCAGTAGTACACATGGAACAAGTGCTCGTGATCATGATAACTGGCCAACGTGAGTTTCTTGCGGGACGGGGCGCTTGAAAGGGAACTTGGGGAAGAGTCAACATGAGTTGCATTCATTGTGTTGGTGCCGAATGAAAAGCGAAAAGAACCAGTTGGAAGGGTTACAACCACTCCAGACTCAAGGAACGCCCAAAATTACTCCAATCAACACCGGGATTTCTTACATCTTAGTCCTGCAGGGCCCAGGCCAAGGTTATGTTGCGACCCAGAAGGCCACGCTTGCTGTATGTTGCATGCGTGCTATGCATGCTGAACTCGAACATCAAACCACAAAGCTAAACAAACAACTACATACATGTTAGATGCATGGCCATTCGCTTAAGCTCTCTCAAATTTGTATAAGTACCGTCCCACAATGACGCGGAACCTGAGTGGAGAGCAGTTTCAAGTTGACTTCCTGCGAACTTCCAACTTTTACTTGCCCAAGGAAGGCTGGAAGGCAGGGCCTCTCTGTGGAAAATTCACCGCCCCTTGGCTTAAGCCTGCCGTGGGTTTATCAAAACTGAAATCTGGCTTCCAGCGAGTACTCCCCTAGTTCGTTCGGTGCCTCGTCGTGGGCCAGCAGGAACCATTGGTCCTGCGGCTCCTGGGTTTCTCTGTGACCCAGCCCAAAAAAAAAGAGCCTGCTTCTGAGGGAATAGTAATTCCAAATTAATTTCCCAAAACTACAAAAACAAAAGAATATGTGTGCTGCAAGCACTAGCACTAAGGCGTGATCCAAACGCTGAAAAGGTCAATCCAGCGCTTCCAGTGAATGTGCAAAGATTGAGCTCGAAGTAAAGAAAAGCGGGTGGCTGGAGAAACTCAACAAAAGAAGCCGGTACAAAGACAAGCAACCCCCGGCAGCCCATATTAAAAAAAACACAAAAACAATTACTCCTGCTCCTGCACTAATTCCAGGTGGACATTGCCAGCATACAAGAACAACCGCGCAACTTTACCTCTTGGTACAAAGGTACCTCAGCTATATTATACTTGAATTGAACGCTCAACACCGACCACCAACCTGGAATCTAGCCGAGGGTTGGTAGCAAACGTTTTCTTGAGGGAACGTGCGGGCCGCGCGTGAAAAACCCGCCGTGGCGCGTTTTTTGCCACGGCACATAGGGTGCGTGGAAGTCCTTGGACTCCAGCAAGCCATCGGCGATGAGCTGCTGCGCCAAGTCCCGGAACTTCCACATGGGGAACCTGGGCCAATGCGATTGGGTCGCTCCCAATCGGCTTCTTGTGTTTGGAGGGTAATTACTCTTTTGGGGTTGACAGGGGCAAAAACACCCAAGGGCACCCCCCTTTGGAGACAAACCCATTATGTTTGTCACAAACAAAAAGGCTGGTTTTGGTACAGCCCCAGGTTGGGTATTCTGTTTTGTCAACCGTAAAACATGTCGCAAAAAAGAAGAAACACAATTTGTCTTTGACTTGTGGGCCACAAAAAGTCGGAGGTCGTCCCCAATTTCGGCTACATGTTTAAGCCTCCCCAGTGAACCTGGCATTCCGTAGCATGATGATGTTGGAAGCAGTGGGTGATGGAGGGAGACTGTGATGGGGCTTGGCTTTGGTTGCCTTTGTGCGGGAACCAAGTAGCCAAGACAAAGGAGAACGGTGCCAAGCAGCGGCCAGGACAATGAAAAGGGGTGTTCTGGGGCAAGTTGCCCTGCCCCAAGTTGAAGACATGGCAGTGCGCAACCGAACCCCTGTGTGCTCCCTGCAAAGGGAACCCCAAGGAATAAAACTATTCGTCTCCAGTCGGTTGGCATGGGCGGTTGGTATGGGCAAAAGCCTGCCGGGTCATCTGCGCACCAGAAAAGCGGCTTCACACATCAATCAGTTGGGTACTGAAGATTACTGAAGTCTCATTCCCAGCACCCACCATCCACAATGGCCCCCGTGGCCTCTCCCCACAGTTACACCCATGATTCCCACTTTCACACTTTCGAGGGGAGCCGCTTACAGCAAGTGAAACCCAACTTCCCACAGGCACCCAGTCGTGCCAAGGCTCCGGTGCTTCGCAGGCCACTGCGGCGAGTAATCGCTGTGGTAGACCACTGGCAGCCGCGATGTCCGGCGCACGGCGCGAGCCATGGGAGTCAAGCGCATGGGCGGGCGGTGAGTATCTCACTGAGGACGATGCAAAATACGAACATCCCAAATGGATTCGCCAGCAATTGTTGCTTGCATTCAGTGGCTACCTCAGCTCCAGCGAACAGTTCCTCAAGCTGCCCTTCAAGTGAAATGTGACAAAACGGTGTGCTTCACACACATGGCCTATCACGGGGCAGCTGTCTCATTGCTACAGCGGAAGCACGATTTTGGAAGTTTAAATGCCTGGCGGACTTCTCTCTCAATTGTTTGTTGCTATGTCACCTCGACTTTCTAGTTGTTGACCAGCGTGGTCTTTCCTTCGCTGTGGCGTGCTTTCCTTCATGAAACACTGACTTGCTGTAGGCAAGGGCCACTCACCGAACGCATGTCAACAAGTGTTGACTCAGCAACATCTGCCACGTTAAGCCTTGCCACTGCTCGGTCTAACCTCGAGCTTGACCCGCGCTGAATACAGCATGTGGTTCCTTCCTTGACCGTGCGCAAAGAAAACTGCCAGAAAAAAGGCCGCCCAGTGGCATTGAAATAGGCATTCAAATGCACAAGCTTGCTCACGTGTGCAATGCTGGACCTGTGAAGCCGCTGCACCTGCAAACGAATCCTACAAGGAATGCTTGTTGTTGCTTTGCTACGCGCTGGCAACCAAGTGGCCTGCAGCGGCATTGGACTTGTAGAAAGCCCGAACAACTTCATGAAGGATCGGCTTGCCGCAAAAAAAGACAAATCATCGCAGGCTAAGCCTACCAGGGAGCTCTATGGGCACACTGATGATCAATCATGAGCAACATGGGCTAGACCCGGACTCGCATTTGGAAACTAAGATGTGAAAAGGTCGGCTTTGGTCACTGGGTGCAAGCAGCGAGTGGCACAACCATGCCGGAGCCACAAAAGTGGGGAGACGAGGCGGCTCTGGATTTCTCCTGGCATGGGCCACGCAGCCATCTCTCGTGGTCTCAAGCATCATCCTTTCAGCTCTTAAAACGCTCCCAAAAGGTTCCATGCTGGGGACTTGTCTTCATCTGAGGTCACTGCAAGTTCCACATCCAGCAGGTCGTGATCACAAGACAAGTGTGCGTTTGCTGTTGGATCATGTAGTGCAGCTCGCGGGATGTGAACGCAGTGCTGCGGCCACATGCCCGCTAGAGCTACATCTTTTGCAAGCTGCACCGTGCAACAAACAAATACTAGGCCAGAGCAGCTAGAGAGGAAGAATTCGAAGGCATGTGGAAAGGCAAGGAAAGCAAAACTGGGAGTGCCTCCCATGCCTGGAGGTGAGCCCGAGCACCAACAAAAAGAGGCGCGACAGGTCCAGCGGTTGGCAGAGCTGAGGCAGCTTTGAAGCGGACTCAAACGGTTTGGGAAGCCGTGATTCACGGGCCCGATTCAGAACAATAATCGGCAAACAGTTTGTGTGGTTGCAACGGCTAAGCAAACGTATCCGACTCTACGTAAAAGAGCTGGCGTCTCTTAACTGGAATGCTAGCATCATCATCAGTCATCACCCAATCCACCTCAGGAAATATTGGCGTTCTCCTCAACTCTATGTTTCCCTTGCGGCAGCTTCGCAGGATCATTCACGCCAGACTTCCTAGGTGTGATCCTAAAGGCAAGGGATCATTCGAGACTTGCGTGCCTTTTGCCCCTCCCGCAGGCAATTGCTGGCCAACGGGCCGACGTCTGACGTGCCGCGCCTCGGGGAGGATGGCGATGATGGTGACGCTTCACCTGGCTCACCTCAGCGCGGCACTCTTGGAGCGGCGGCTTGAAACTATAACACCCGCGTCACTAACACACGTGTCCCCCACAAATTATGTGGGTTGATTTTGGTCAAACTCCCAGGGCATGCCTCCAATCACCCTGCAGTCAACAGCCACAACCCCCTTTCTGTGGCGCCCGGCTGATGCTTTTCGTCTTCGCCCTGGGCGTGCCACCATAGGATCAACCCTTCAGCATCCTTCAGCGGTGAGTAGGGTATCGGGTCATTGACTGGTGCGTGAGAGCACCAAACAGCAATCATTGTGAAGCATGTCTGAGCACCCAGTCTTGTAGAAAGGGCAGGGGCTTTGCTGTCTCTGCGACCGAGACGGCGCCCACCACTCAACCACGGCCAACTGAAACGGCCAACCCAAACCATCCCAATCCCCACATGCGGTTCCGCTTCAGACTGCGGCCGTTTTCCTCACAGCGCCGCAAGCACTGGTGCGCTGTCGCCCACCGCTGGGCCGGGCTCTGAGGCAGCAGCCGCCGCACCAGGAAAGCGGCGCAGCAGCCAGCCTGGGTGCTCATTCAAGTCGGCTTGATGGTCGGATCAAAAAGGGGCGAAATCAACGAACCAATTGAGATCTGATTGAGCGAGCCCAAAACCATTTACGATCTGCTTGAGCGAGGCCAAATGGCCTAAGCTGGCCACAAAGCTAAATTGCAAGGCCGAATAAGCAGCAGTTCCATATCGCTGCGATGGTTGCAGCACGAAGCAAGCAAGTGTGCGCTTACACCTGCCCCGACCGCAAACAGCGTCGTATGTTATTCGCGGAGTATGCTATTCCCCCCCTTCCCCCCAACCACCACTCCATCCACCCCACCGACAAGCAACAGCATCAAGAACTATTCAGCACCCCTTGTGAGCCCAGCAGATCGAACAGTCGCGCCCTTCAATGATTTCTCTTGCGGTTCTGCTGATACACAAGATGGCTACTGCTCCAACTCGTGCATCTTCAGGTTCCTTGAAGTGATTGGATTTAGAGGCTATATGCCCTCAACCAGGCGACATTTTCAACTACCTCAGCCTCTGCCCCCGCCTCAAAACAGTATCTTCACATGCCAGTCCACATGTTTGGCTCAAACTTGACATATGCGGACACATGGAACAAGATCGACACAAACTCCATCTTTTCTCCTGCCGAAGTGCGGGCAAGCTGGTCCCTGGTCTTCTCCGGAAAGCGCGCGGCCAGGTGCCGCAGGAAGATCTCCGGGAAGGACGGGTGGGACGAGAGCAGCTGATCCAATCCCGCGTCCTCACAGGAAACCCAAGCCCCACCCAGCTGAGTCCTCTCCCGCGACACAGGCACCGACAAAACAATACAAAAAGTCAACAAAAAAAACATCTTCTTCCTAAACCCTCAGGTCGACAACAAGAAGAATCCAGCGAAATACAAACCAAAATATATGTTCATGATATGTTGCCCCACCAACCCTGAGAGCAGCAGCAGGTTGGCACTCTCTAACTCCCTATCTCTCTCTGTCTTTGTGTCTGTGTTTGTCTTTGCTATTTCGTCTGTTTGTTCTTTCTCTAATTATTTACTTTCTGCATTTAGTTATTCATTAATTGGTTTAGCTTTTTCTCAACTTATGGCTTTATTTAGCTATTTGATTGTGTCTTTGTTTTGTTGTTTCTTTCTTTCTTCCTTTGTTTAATCTATCTTTTCTTCAGCAGCAAACCCTAGCTATCGTCCCCGGCTGGCCATCCCCCCGCCGGGAACTCTGGAGGAGGACATCTACAATCTAGAAAAAAAAACGCCCACCCACCGGGATGTCCATGACGCACCATCACCACCACCACCAGCAACAAACAGACCAAAACACGAAACGCAAAAAAAACAGCGCATGACGACATCCAAGCACAAAACAGGCGCCTGCTGAAGGCTGGCTACCGGCTCCCGGCGGGAGGCCATGCAGAGAAGCTGGAACACCGCCTCCGCCTTTCAACCCGCGCAAGCGGCAAGCGAAATGGAAAAACGGGGTCTCGAAAACAAGTCGAACACGTGGTTGTTTTTCGCCATCTCTTGCGGTTTCCTTTGAGGCAATTAACGTTGCGGGTCACTTAGCACCCTCCAAGGGCAGCGCTTGCCCTGCTGAGAACGAAACACTTTGTTCCAAGGTGACATCACAAAGGCCCTCCGACCAGTCAAAGTATCTGGGCACCCTTTGCTGGCCATGCGTGGGGTGTCCCACTAACTCATAGCCACAGGCTAATTAGCTTGCAATGCAGATTTTGCCAAAGCGGTGTGACTGCTGCAAATGCAAGCAGGGCATGCTGACTGGGAAGCAAAAGGGAACCTCTGGAGTCCGCGGGACTCTTCCCTGGGGGGGGGGGGCCCTTGCCCTAGTGGATGCCAAGGGAAACCCAGTACCCAATTGACGAAAAACTGGCACCACTCTTGAGGTATCAACGTTCAAAGCAAGTGAACAAAGCTGTTTCTTTGGGTGGCCGCTTGCATCTGGCAACTGGACCAGCCACACAGTACGGCGGATGACAGGGCAAAAAAACCCTTGCAGAAATAGCATGAGTCTGAATGGCCGTATTCCGTGTTTCTGCAAATGGCAACAGCCAAGAGAAGCCGACAAGAAGCCGCACACAAGAATCTCACCTGCATTCTGGTGTATGCTGCTCAGGGACGGCGTTAGGGATGCTTGCCACAACTGGCGCAACAGAACTGGACTAACTTGCAAGATGTCATTCCGCAACTGCCGTGATACCCAAATAAGCACTTCCTGAGACAACATCTGGAGCTGCGCCAGAAAGAGATGTGGACTTGACGGAAAGGCGGGCCACCTCTCCAGAAATTCCTCTGCAGATTTGGGCTTTTTGAAGCCAGCTCATAACCAGAAGCTCTGCCAGCTCTGCTCTGGAGTGTGAACTCCATCTGCCAGTGAGAAAGTGTCTTAAAAGCCTTCTCCTATTTAATGTCAGCCCTCGGCCAATGGTGCTTCCCCCCTTTCCTTAATTCCAACGCTTTGCGCTTGCATGTTCTCCTCCTTAAAGTCTTCAAACAAGGCTGCTCGAGATTCAAACAGTCTGTTGCTGAAACCCGCACTTGCTTGTGCCCGTGTGAGGGACCATGAGTTTGCAAAGGAAACCCTGAAAAGTTGTGGGGAGGGGCCAACACTCCCCTGCCCGCCTGAGCCCCGTTCTTGTGCTCCAGCCGCTCCCGCGTTGCTTGGCTCAACCGCTGCAGCAGCCAAGGAACCTCTCTGCCCCGCTCTGCAGCGCTGACGATGTGCCCCATGCTACGCTGAAGGGCGTCCAACACGTCGGCCTCCAGGGTAACAATTGAATAGGGGCTCTGCGATTTAAGCATCACGGTACGTGAGATCACAAACTATAGTTCTTCCCTGTACGAAAGCTTCCGCCCCCCCGCTCTGTCCGCTTTACTCGCACTTGATTACTCAGCAAGCGTTGATCCTCCCCTGCAAACTCAAAAAGGGAGCCCCCAAAAAGATTGCTACAAGTGCACCTTGAGTACGTTCACTTTCCATCGCCTGCAGCGCTGCCTCCACCAGTTCCCGCATCCGGGTGGCGCCACTTGGCCCATTCTCCACGGGCAACGCCAGGGCCGCCAGCAGCGCGGCGCGGGTCGCCAGGGCGGTGTCGCCGCTGAGGCAGCGCAAAAGCACCGGCCAGGCGTCATCGAAGGCCTCGACTGCGCTGCGCGAAATGAAGCTGAGCTGCTGAGCCCAAGGCAAAGGATATGCAGTTGGTGAAACATGGGATCAGCCAGTCTGCAGGAAAAACATAATTGGCCTCGCTGTTTTGGGGGGTCCGGGCCGGACGGGGAAATCAGGCCTGCCCAAAACCAAAGCAAGGCACCTGGGTGTTGCATGGCGGGCTCAGCTTTCCTAAGTCACCGGCTTGTTGGCCTAGCATTGGGAGCTTGGCAAAGCAAGAGTATCTTCTCGAAAGCACGGGCACATGGTTAAACCATGACACATCATGCAAACCACCCAATACAATACCATTGAGACCTCCTCTCACTCCAGTCAGTGAAAGCATGCCCTTCAGCGATGTGTGGTCCGGAGATTTGGTGGTGCACGCATTGTGGTCCTAAAGCTTGGTTGTAGGCAGGACGGGCTTCAAACGTTGGCTCAGGCAACGCAATCCGTTGCCTCCCTCGGACCAAAGGCAGCGCCAACAGGCCAAGGCCTGTGTTGATCAATTCAAGAGAGTGTGGATCCCTGAATGCTAAAAAATTGGAGAGAGCTCGCAATTTGAAGGGGCCCTGCGTCGGACCAGCCACAGCGTCCTCAGCTGCAATAGACAACAGATTTAATAGCAGCTTGCAGGCAAGAAGCTGGATCCTCCGTGGCATCTGCCATGGACATGATGCCCAGCCAAAAGTACATCCGCGCTGCGCGAGAGGGGCGATCCGCTCCATGAAACTCACAGAACGCCTCCACCAGCCAGCGCCGGAAGCCATCAGAAGTGCAGCCGCACTGGACAATGCTCAAGCAAACGGCGCGATATTCCTCGCTGTCCTGGCAGAAAGTCAGAGGGCAAATCTCTGACACAATGCCTGAGCAAGGCTTGACCAAACAGAAAGAGTATAGCGCGACCGATCCGAAAACAGATCCACCATTTAAAGTCTGAAGACTTGCTTGCATGCACTTCCAACTACTGTGCATTCAACTGCCTGTCTTGCAGTCCCCGGCAAAGCCTATGCCGTGAAACTAAGCCGGCGGGCGTGCATGCTGGCACATCGTGACAGATTGCAACAAGACTTCGGGCCAGAGTGGACTTGCACCACGGCATCTTGACTTCGGATGGAAGCGTCTGACAACAATGCGCCTTATCCATTAGGCGACTGGTCCTTCTGCCTAAACACTTGGCTGTTCATCCCTCGCGCCAAAACCTAGTTGGATGTCTGCAAACCCTCCATTCCATGTTGAAACATGAAAATTGCCTTCCTTCAATCAAGTGGATCCGAGCCTAGAAATCTGCGACCCTTTCCCTATTCCTCCCGGAAGATGTCCACGCAGCTGAGAACCCTCAGTAGGGCCAGCAGAAACCTGAGTTGGCACCCCTCTCTAACCACGCGTCATGTTAAACCCGCTCTATTCAAACCTCCTTTAGAATTCGTTTCAAGTGGTGGTTGTTAAACAATGTTTGGCAACAAGGGCACCCCACCCCTGGCCCTAGGAACA